CTAATATACACTCTATATATATATATAAATAAAATACAAATGGGACACATATCGCGGACGCGCTCTAGAGTGCACCACACACATACAAATAGATATCATATATATATATATATATATATATATATATATATATATATATATATATATATATATATATATATATATATATATATATAATCATTACGTTATAAATATGTGTTAGGGCGTCGGAGTTTGGTTCCGGCGAAAACCCTATTACGTACATGTCAACATGTGAAAGCCAAGAAGCGGTGGAGACAAAATCTTAAGAATGTAATTAGCATATATTGAGTATGGTAATTGGAATGTTAAATGTCGTTTTAATTTTATTATTACAGTTCTGACTTCGAACGTTGTTTTGGCCCTATTTATAATTTGATTTTGGCAAAATTCAAAGCATCAAAACTGTAGTCCTTTGATTTTGCTTTCTAGTCCTACTTGAATCAACTAGATTGGATGTTGGGCGACAAAGTTATGTATGAACGAGTTACATTTTAGATTTTAGATAACTCTAAACTTCGAATTTGTGGACAATGTTCATTAATTCATTCATATCTTTCTCATCCGATATTCAATTTTGGTGATTCAAAATATATTAAAAAATGAGCTCAAATAACTACAAATTTCGTGCTTTAAGTTTTGCCAAATTCAGACTCGAAAATAGTCAAAATCACGTCTGAAATCAAAACGGTATTTCTTTAAACTGGGACGACGGCATTTTGTCACAGCTCATATGTATTAGAGGCTACTAAGAGCAACTCCAACGGGGTTATTAAATGGATTATCAAATCCCTTAACCTCCATTTGACTCCCAAAATTTAAAAACTCTCTCCTCCAATGGGATTATTAAAATAGAGTTCTATTTTGATAACTCATCTATCCGGAAGTAAAAATACATCCCAAATATATGATTATCAAATCTTCTCTTAAAAAATAGGAGTACGTGGAAAAAGAAAAACCTCAACAGAATTGAGTTTTCTTTTCTTTACGTAAAAATCTCAACAGAATAAAATTAAATTTTCAACGTCTTCAACAAATTTCCACTGGAAAAAAAATCTCAAAAAAATCTCGAACATATTTTTTTTTTCTCTAGAGCTTCAACAAAGTTCCACGAAAAAAAAAAAAGAATCTCTATGTATATATAATTTTATTTTTTCTGTTTTGAAAAGTGATTTTGAGGATAGATTATCAGAAAAATCGATTTGTATGGTTATTTAAAATGAATTAAAAAATAAATAATCATAAATTTGTTTGATAATTGTGGTTGGAGTTCACTAGTTGTATAGAGATATCAAAGTATAATTCTGATTATCAAATGAGTATTTAATAACCCCATTTGATAACAATGGGTTGGATATATTCGATTAACTTAATATAGATTTCGGCTCATAGTTAATTGAATTTAATTAATTTAATTGGACTAAAATAGGCTAAAGCTTATGAAATTAGACGTCCGCTTATTGGGTTTGAAAAAATATAATCCAACTTCGTTGAAAATCTATGCCCAAGTATATAAATGAACAATACACTATATAAAATAAAATAATAACAAATTAAAATAGACAATATAAAAATCCATAAAATAAATAAATAGGGTATTAATTTTAGTTGGCTAATTATTGAGTTGGTTGGTGAGGATTGTAGGAGTTATTGAGACCATGACATGTGCCCCAATTATTATTACACCACCATTTTCAACCACTAAACCCAATTCATCATCAATTACATTCTACTAATTCCACCCATTAATTTATTTTTAACATAATCATCAACTATAATATAGACTAAATAATTAAGAGTGCAATAAAATTTTAAATCGCCCATCTAAATTAGATAACACCAATGAAATAAAGTAGGGTAATTGTAGGGGGTAAATAGCACTTAACCCCCTGTGATATGGACTATGTGCAAATGACCCCTTGTACTTTCGATATACACACATAACCCCCCTATGGTATTTCATTTGGTAAATTATTATGCTCATTTGGAAGTGAAATTTTTGAAGATACAAAAGGATTTTGTGCTATTTTAAATTACTAGGGGGTCATGTGCTATATTGAAAGTACAAGGGATCATAATGCATAAAGTTCAAACCAAAGGGACCTAATTATAAACTTCATGGACCCCATTTGACAATTTGACCTAATCTCGTTTGGTGCCGTGATCTGCTGCTACTGGAGAGAGAGAGAGAGAGAGAGAGAGAGAGAGAGAGAGATGGTTTTATTGGTTCTTACTATTTCTTGTTATCTTCAATTCTTGATTTCATCAATGAAATGATCAAACGCGAGAAATGATAGTTATAATTTTATAATAAGTTGACTTATTTTATAAATTAAACCCTGCAAATTATTGAAAATTTAAGAGCTAATTAATAAGAAACAAGGTCAACTTCTTGATATAATTCTCACATATACATAAACAAATTGACAAAATTAAAGTGACAACTTACATAACTCTCTTACCATGGTGGCTAAACAAATATCAATAAATAATAATTTGTCACTTCATATATCATTTTTTTTGTTTTGTTAGTTATTAATACATCCAATTCCATTTATTCTTAATATTTTAATTCAATCATTTTGTTTGTTATTATTAGGATGGACTCATCTTAATTCCCAATAGCTACTCTACATTGCATATAATTTATGCTAAGAGCACTAAGGAAAATGGCAAAAAAGGGAATAAGATGATTGACACTTATTCCTAATTAATTTAATTAAATATTTTAGTGATTTATGGGTGAGTGTCCACATCACATGTTCTTCTTATGTGTCTAGATCATGTGTATATTCACATAAAGGGGACTAAATAAAAAACAATTAATTTATCATAAATAAGGACAATTTTCCATCATTTGTGAAGTCAAAAGGGAAAT